CATCTATTTTGAGTCGCGGTGCTGGTCACTTGAGGAATGTAAATCCAATATTCTCACCTGTTATATTCTCACAACTTCCGCAGCTAAAAGCTTCACTATGTTCACCAGCGATAGTTGCTAATTTTGTCTACGGTGTCAACGGTTTATGGGATTGACAAACTAGCCGTGTTTCCATCAACATTTTTTTATGCACAATTTATGCACAACAACAAGTATCAGATTAGAAGAGGTTTGGTGGAAAAGTCAAAATTTGAAAAAACTTCCTTACCTTTGCAGAAAAGTTTTTACACTCGCTTTAGGGCGATTTTGCCTTTGTCAAAAAAGAGTTAATGCGCTAAATGGGAGATGGAAACTGTGGTGCCTTTAGGGCTTTCTTAATTTTTTTTATGAATTATTTCGTTGGTTTTTATTTTTAGTTGGAAATGAGGTACATAACTACTTCTCAGTTCAAAATAAATAATCTGTAAATTAGTATTATTTTCGTTCACACCATGACGTCACTTCCTGTTTAGCTACTTCCGGTTTCGTCATTTCCTGTTTAGTGACTTCCTGTTTATCTCCACATGCGGAAAAGAAAGCAGACATGTATGCTCTGAGACTAATCTGCTTGCATCCACTCTGGAACATCATAGAGGCAATGCCGTAAGTTAATTCATTTGACAATAGACATGTTAAAGTTCATATATTAGCAGGGATTTGCTAAAAAATTATGTTTGATAAGTTAATTTAAAAAAAAAAAAAAAACGTTTTTGTTTTTACCCTAATGTGCAAGCTAACAGCCATGCTATATGCATGATGTATGTTCATATTTACAACTATGTACAATGGTGTTTAGTTTAGTTAAGAACATTGAATATGTTTGTACTGCCTTTATTTACAGTTTTCACCACACAGACAGCATGTATGAAGAAGTGTCTCAGTAAAGGATCAATCTTACTACAACTCTCTCTTCATTGGCTACGGTTTAACTGAGTGTTTAGTCGGTGTTTTACACACACTGCACAAGAACATTACAGTGAAAAGGCAACTTGTGAAGTTTCGAACTGGTCAAAATGGCAACAAGCAGCAAGTCATCCAGATCTGGGAGCATCATGACATCAGCATCATCGGCAAGTGTTGCCCGGGCCCGAGCTAAAGCAGAAGCTGCCAAGGTAAGAGCATCTTATGCTAACCAAGAGGCTAAATTGAAAATGGAAAAGGCTGCCAGAGAAGCAGAAAAGACAACAAGAGATGCTCAAAATCAGTTGGAAACGGTAAGGATAGACACAGAGTTGGAAGTGTTAATGCTACACAGAGAAGCTGCTGCAGCCTTGGTGGAAGCAGAGGTGCTGGAAAACGCTGAATCAATGCATCCTTTAGACGAAGTGGGAAAATACGAAGCAGAAGAGGTTAAAATTGAACGCACCAAGGATTATATCCAATCTCAAATCAACCTTCAGAATCGTTCTTCCTCCCCACTCTTGGCAGGCTTACCTGTGGCTTCCCCACCCCATGCAGAATCACACGACAGCTTCGTTACATGGGGCCCACAAGTGAAAGACGCTTCACAATTAGAACCTATCAATGAGCCACAGTCTGAAAAAGTGACCAGTACACACTTACCTGCACCAAACTTGCCTGATTCGACTAGATTGGAGACGAAGCCTGAAGTCAGAAGAACAGACCCTACCATGGATTTTCATGCCCAGATATATGCTCCGCAACCGATTCCTCCACCTAGCACACCGCCTTTGGTGGAGCCCTTGGCACAGTATTTGGCACGACGAGACCTTGTCAATTCAGGACTGTACCAATTTGACGATAAGCCAGGAAATTACCGTGCATGGTACTCCTCATTCACCAATGCAGCTGATGAAGTTCACCTCACAGCCGCCCAAGAACTGGATCTTATGACTAAATGGCTGGGAAAAGAATCTAGCGAACAGGTTAAACGCATACGCTCAGTGCATGTCGGTAACCCCAAACTTGCTTTACACAAGGCATGGGAGAGACTACGTGAGTGCTATGCTGCACCTGAAATCATTGAAAAGTCACTGTTTCATCGGTTGGACAGTTTTCCCAAGATTTCAGCTAGGGACCACACCAAATTACGTGAACTAGGAGATTTGCTTATGGAGATCCAAGGCGCTAAAGAAGACGGCTATCTCACTGGCCTATCGTATCTGGATACTTCACGTGGAATTGGGCCAATCGTGGACAAGCTTCCATATGGACTTCAAGAAAAGTGGGTGTCTTCTGGATCCTGGTACAAAGAACAGAACCAAGGTCGCTTCCCTCCCTTTGAGTATTTCAGTAACTTCGTGTGCTACGAAGCGAAGAAGCGAAACGATCCTAGCTTCATGTATCAAGGCAGTGTAACCACACCCACAAGACCAGACAAACCTAGTGTGAAGAACACCAACAGACCCATTTCAGTGCATAAAACTGATGTTTCTACTACCAATGACGACCTTAACAAGAACTGCCCATTACACAACAAACCACATCCTCTCAAAAAATGCAGGACATTCAGAAACAAACTCCTCGAGGAGAGAAAGGCCTTCCTCAAGGAGAAAGGAATATGTTTCAAATGCTGTTCTTCAGTCACCCACCTTGCCAAAGATTGCAAGTCCTCCGTCAAGTGCTCTGAATGTGATAGCGCCTACCATGATGCTGCTATGCATCCCGGCCCATCAACTCCTTCACCACCACAGGAGAACGGCGGGGAGGGACAAAATCACCCTAACACAGCCGTTGTTAGAACCAGTTGCACAGAAGTTTGCGGCCCAAACCAATGGAGTCGCTCATGCTCAAAGATCTGCCTCTCAAAGATATATCCGAAGGATGCCAAGGAGAGGGCCATCAAAGCCTATGTAATTCTGGATGACCAGAGCAATCGCTCATTAGCTAGACCAGAGTTCTTCGAGCTGTTCAATGTGGAGAGCAAACCATTCTCGTATCACCTCAGAACCTGCTCTGGAATCGTAGAAACATCCGGCAAAAAAGCAGAAGGATTCCAGATCGAGTCATTGGATGGCAAGGTTCTCATCCCTCTCCCACCACTCATTGAGTGCCACGAGATCTTGAACAATCGGTCTGAGATTCCAACACCGAGCGCAGTCTTACACCATCCCCATCTTCAACACATCGCCAAGTACATCCCGGAACTGGACCCGGATGCAGAAATACTCCTGCTACTTGGAAGAGATGTCCTTAGAGCACACAAGGTCAGGCAGCAGGTCAACGGACCACACAATGCCCCCTTCGCCCAGCGTTTGGACCTGGGATGGGTAGTAATAGGAGAGGTGTGTCTGGGTAATGTGCATAAGCCGACAGTCAACACGTTTAAGACCAACGTGCTGGACAGTGGTCGCCATTCCATTTTTCAACCCTGCACAAGCTTCATGCATGTAAAAGAGACGCAGCAAAGCTCTAACAGGCCTGAGAGGATGCTGGGTAAGACAGTGTTCAACCAAAGCGAGAATGATAACAAACCTGCTCAATCAGTGGAAGACACAATCTTCCTAAAAATAATGGACACAAACGTCTACAGAGATGATGCTAACAGTTGGGTCGCCCCACTACCGTTCAGAGAACCACGCCAGCCTCTGCCAAACAACAGAGAACAGGTGGTCAAGCGGTTCGCCTCTCTGCAACGAACCCTGAAAAAGAAACCTGAGATGCAGGAACAATATGTGGCATTCATGGAGAAGATCTTCGCTAACGGACATGCCGAAGTAGCGCCCCCTCTGAAAGAAGCTGAAGAATGCTGGTATCTCCCAACATTTGGGGTTTACCATCCACAAAAACCCAGTCAGATCAGGGTAGTCTTTGATTCCAGCGCCCAGTACTACGGTATCTCCCTTAACGACGTACTCCTAACAGGCCCCGACCTAAATAACTCCCTCCTAGGCGTCCTGCTACGCTTCCGAAAAGAGAAGATCGCTATCATGGCAGACATCCAGCAGATGTTCCACTGTTTTTTGGTGCGCGAAGACCACCGCAACTTCCTCCGTTTTTTATGGCACAAAGACAACGACGTCAGCAAGGAAGTTATAGAGTACCGGATGAAGGTCCATGTCTTCGGCAACAGACCATCACCCGCCGTTGCCACCTACGGACTGCGAAGAGCCATCAGAGAAGGTGCACAGGAGCATGGTGCAGATACAGTCAACTATGTGGAAAGGCATTTCTACGTTGACGATGGGTTGATATCCGTACCATCTCAAGCTGAGGCAATCGACCTGCTCCAACGCACACAGGCCTCACTCGCTGAGTCAAACCTTCGCTTACACAAGTTTGTGTCGAACTGTCCAGCTGTAACGGAGGCCTTCTCACCTGAAGATTGTACCCCGGTAACCAAGGACCTAGACCTGGGCGGAGAAACCGCACCGACACAGCGGAGCTTAGGTCTACTCTGGGAGATCACAACTGACACCTTCACCTTCTCCACATCAACCGCAAACAAACCCTTCACCCGCCGCGGAGTCCTCTCCACGGTCAACAGTGTTTTCGACCCCCTGGGTTTGTTGGCACCCGTCACGATCCAGGGAAGAGCCCTCCTCAGAGAACTTACCTCTGAACTGTCCGACTGGGATACACCCCTCCCAGAAGACAAACTATGCAGATGGGAAGCCTGGAGACATTCGCTCAGAGACCTAAAACAACTGCATGTACCGCGTACGTACACAAAAACCTCATTCAATAAAGCAGCGCACACAGAGTTGTGTGTGTTTTCTGACGCATCAACTAAGGCAATTGGTGCTGTGGCGTATGTGAGAGCAGTTCAGCAAGATGGGAAAGTTGACGTGGGATTTGTTATGGGCAAGACAAAGCTAGCACCCCAGTCCGAGCCTACAATCCCAAGGCTGGAACTGTGCGCCGCAGTCTTAGCTGTAGAGATGGCAGATCTCATACAGGAAGAGCTAGACCTGAAGTTAGATGCGACAAAGTTCTATACGGACAGCAAAGTAGTGCTAGGCTACATTTGTAACGAGGCAAAACGGTTCTATGTGTATGTTCACAATAGAGTGCAACGCATTCGACAGTCCTCAAAGCCTGAACAATGGAACTACGTCCGTACAGAGGAAAATCCTGCCGACCATGCGTCAAGATCCTTACCTGCATCCCATCTGGCGCAGACCTCTTGGTTCACGGGACCCTCCTTCCTGTATCAGCCTCCAGCAGAAAAAAATGCAAGTTAGTGAGACATTTGAGCTAGTTGAACCTGGAAGGGACCCGGAAATCCGAACCCAAGTCCAGACCTGTGCTACATACCTGGAAGAATCTATGCTTACCCCAGACCGCTTCCAACGGTTCTCCACCTTCAACTCCTTAGTAAGAGGAGTAGCATACCTCATCCACATGGCAAGATCCTGCAAGCACTCAAATAAAAACAGCAAATGCAAAGGCTGGCACAGATGTAATTCACCTCGTACTCCAGATGAAATGGCCCAGGCAAGGAATGTTATCCTCAAAGCAACACAAATGGCAGCCTTTGCGAAGGAACTGTCCGCCCTCCGAGCCAACAAAGCAATACCCAAAAATAGCCCCATGCAGAAACTCAGCCCATTCTTGGAAGACAACCTCATTTGTGTTGGGGGCCGATTAAGGCACTCAGAACTCCCTGCTGCCGAAAAGAACCCAATAATCCTGCCCAAAGGTAGCCACATCTCCTTACTGCTCACCCAACATCACCACGAGCAAGTAAAACACCAAGGCAGACACCTGACAGAAGGCGCGATTAGGGCAGCAGGATTGTGGATTTTGGGAGGCAAAACATTAATCAGTTCAGTACTCCACAAATGTGTAACCTGTCGCAGGCTGCGCGGAAAGCTGGAAGAACAATTCATGGCTGACCTGCCACCTGAACGCCTTAAAACCTGCCCTCCCTTTACATATGTGGGGATCGATGTATTTGGTCCCTGGTCCATCTCTACCAGACGCACCAGAGGAGGACAGGCAGAGAGCAAGCGGTGGGCCATCATGTTCAGCTGTATGAGTTCAAGAGCAGTGCATATCGAGGTAATTGAGGCTATGGACACATCTAGCTGCATAAATGCCCTCAGACGCTTCTTCGCACTCAGAGGCCCTGCGAAACAGCTCCTATCTGATTGTGGCACCAACTTTATTGGAGCGCGCAAGGAGCTTGGGATGGACAAAAGGCTGCAGAAGTTCCTCAGTGAGCAAGGATGCATCTGGGAATTCAACCCGCCACATGCCTCCCATATGGGAGGCCCTTGGGAGCGCATGATTGGTGTTGCTAGAAGAATCCTTGATTCAATGTTTCTCCAACATAACACTCGCCTAACCCACGAAGTTCTTTGCACACTGATGGCTGAGGTCACGGCCATCATGAACGCACGTCCACTCCTACCTGTCTCTGCTGACCCGGAAAACCCTTTCATACTCTCACCGTCAATGCTTCTTACGCAGAAGACTGGAGCTCCACCCCCTCCAGGAGAGTTCTCAGGCAAGGACCTTTACACAAAGCAATGGAGACAGGTTCAGGCTCTTGCAAACCAGTTCTGGACCCGCTGGAGCCGTGAATACTTACCTTCCCTGCAACACAGACAAAAGTGGACAGTACCTCGAAGAAACCTTGAAGTTGGAGACCTAGTTCTACTCAGAGACAAGCAGACTGTCCGCAACTGCTGGCCTATGGCCAGGATCACTGCCACCTTCCCTGGAAACGATGGCCACGTAAGAAAGGTCGAGGTGAAAACAGCTGACCAGGGTAATGTGAAAACCTTTCTTAGGCCAGTTGCAGAAATTGTTCTACTTCTGCCCAAAGACTGATCTAGAGACTAATGTATTGGACTAACATAAATTCTTAGTGACCTCACACAGGTCAGGCGGGGAGTGTGGTGCCTTTAGGGCTTTCTTAATTTTTTTTATGAATTATTTCGTTGGTTTTTATTTTTAGTTGGAAATGAGGTACATAACTACTTCTCAGTTCAAAATAAATAATCTGTAAATTAGTATTATTTTCGTTCACACCATGACGTCACTTCCTGTTTAGCTACTTCCGGTTTCGTCATTTCCTGTTTAGTGACTTCCTGTTTATCTCCACATGCGGAAAAGAAAGCAGACATGTATGCTCTGAGACTAATCTGCTTGCATCCACTCTGGAACATCATAGAGGCAATGCCGTAAGTTAATTCATTTGACAATAGACATGTTAAAGTTCATATATTAGCAGGGATTTGCTAAAAAATTATGTTTGATAAGTTAATTTAAAAAAAAAAAAAAAAAAACGTTTTTGTTTTTACCCTAATGTGCAAGCTAACAGCCATGCTATATGCATGATGTATGTTCATATTTACAACTATGTACAATGGTGTTTAGTTTAGTTAAGAACATTGAATATGTTTGTACTGCCTTTATTTACAGTTTTCACCACACAGACAGCATGTATGAAGAAGTGTCTCAGTAAAGGATCAATCTTACTACAACTCTCTCTTCATTGGCTACGGTTTAACTGAGTGTTTAGTCGGTGTTTTACACACACTGCACAAGAACATTACAGAAACACTTTCACGAATAAGTTCTGGCGTAGCGAACATGTAACTCACGACTGATCAGCTGTTTCTGCTGTTGGCTTGCGTGGAGACATGGCTGGTAGCAACTTGCCAGCTTGAAACACATTCCTGAGGACCTCCCTATATTTCCCAGATCCTTGGTCCTCAGGTACATGCGACTGGTTTTGTTTCTGGTTTGCATCCCATACATCTTGTTTATTACATGTGTAACGTCAACTACTGACGCTCCAAACCAGTTGATGGAAATGCACATATTTCGCAATGTCTTTTATTTTCTTTTTTGCGACATTCCAAAAGTCCGTTTAAAATTCACTTGAAAATTATATGGAAACATAGCTACTGTAACCTACACTACACATTTAATGCTAAACTTCACTGCTCACCTTTCCCAATTCTCGGCTGCATTCACCTGCCGCTCTCCCTCACTCAGCCACACACTCAATACACACACAAAAAGGAGCGACTCGACAGCGACTGCGATTGGTGGGCATAACGCTACAGGACTAGTAAACAAGTTGTTGACCGTTAGACCAAAACAAAGTGCAAGATGCTAAAACTCTGTGTAAAATTGAGGGAAACTGCAGCCTGGTCATGATTCTGAGTTTGTCACTCAGAGCAACTCTGTTCACATTATGTCTTTTGACCCATTGTTGACTAAAACAACATTGATTAGAGTGGCTTTAAAGAGGCATTGTGGAGTTTTCAGGGGCCACTAGCGGTGCAGTTTTAAGATAAGCAACCAGGTGTGTGCTCGTCCGTGTGCTCGCCTGAACTCATGAGCGAGCATTATCGAAAACACAACGGCTTTCATACAGAAATCCTGCAATTAATGCAGAAACACCAGCATGCAGGCTGTGACTTCACATGTTCAGGCTCTGTTACTTCAATGTTCCTGGCTCAGAGGCAGCTCAACACAGGTGCCGTACCTTTCATTCAGCGCAGCAAGACACTGGCATATTAGCACAGTACTCCCGAAAAAGGCAAAGTAAGAGCGGCTACAGACAGACAGGGAGCCAGCTTCACACAACATGGTGGAAACTCAAGTAAACTCCCACTGCAACATTACAGTAATATTTTTTATCAGCTTGAGGTTGAACTAATCCATGCTCGTTACATGATAATGGTTCAGTGACTGCATTTAGCCGGCGTGCTACATCGTTGTTAGTTCGCCTGCTGCTTTTAGGAACTATATTTACTATATGTGTATCTTTCACCGGAGGCTCAGCAATGTCAGCACAGGTAAATGTATTGGATGATAAGGAAACGGTTAGTGAGCTGGACAAACAGCGGCAGGTCGGAGCTAATGTAGTGTTAGCCGGCGAGCTAACGTGACTTTCTCTGTGCTTCTCCAGTTTTACTAATGCTCACTTGTCTTTACTCGACATCATCTGAACCTGTTTGGTCTGATGGGTTTCAGCACATAAACCTTCCTTGTTGTTTTGTATCCTTACGTGGAGCCTGTGTTTTGCTGGGAGCCGGTTGTTGGTGTTATGGTGTTAGTGGACTTCATGTCGTTAGCTGCTGTTGTTGCTATAGAACGAGAGAGGCTCGGGAGCGCGCACAGGGCTGAATCCAACCCAGTGTCCTCACATTAAAAGCAGAAATAGTGGCTGATGCAAGCAAGAGAGAAAACAGGTGTGTGCTTCATTTCTAAGTGAGTGTTGAGCCCATTGACAATAAGGCAATGAAAATTTTATTCATTAAAATGAAAAACTTACCTATAGCCCCTTTAAGTTTACATAATCATGACCATAACCAAAATATGTTACTTTTTACCTCACTCTAAGTCTAACTTTGAAAGTCTGAAGTTGCTGCATCACAGAACTGGAACAGTGACGCATTTTGACGCTGAACTTTTCGCACTGAGGGGTTTCCTGCATCATTTACAAAGGACGACATGTTTTCCTTGTTTCCTCTTGTTTCACCAGAACTAAAGTCTCAAAGAGCTGTGTCTGAGATTGAATCACACACTGAATCACCAGTGGCGCTGTAGTCTCTTTCCCAAGCAGAGAAAAACATGCATTATTCAGCGCACTGCTGTAGGATTAAGGGGAGGACACCGACTTTTCAGAACTACCAAATCCCCGCAGCACTGTCAGGACGTGTGATTTGGTAGTTAGCGATGGCTCTGGGGAGCCATAACTCTGCTTTGATTAAAGGTCTCAATGAAAGGTCAAGAGGGAGATGGAGGCAGAAAGAGAGCAAGGGAGCAAATTGATGGACTACAGAGAGCCTTTGGTTGATGGAAATGTAAAATGTCCCTCTTCACTGTCAAAGTGAAGCTTGAAATTTGAGTGTATTTTGCTGTGATAATGATGAGTTGGATTGACAAGTGCTCTACAAATCATTAGAAATCTGTATTTCTTACATTTCTAAGCATGAAGTAACTTGTGAACAATGTGTTCAAACTGAATGCAAATTAAATTTTCACCTGACATTAAATGTGTAAATTCGATTGCTGTTGTGTTTTTGATACAATACAATACAAACACAAACAACTAAATTAGACAGTTTTAAGTCCCCCCTCCATTGCCTCACAGTGGTTTGGTCCACTGCCTGCTTGCCCTCTTCACCTTACTGGAGTCTGGTGGGAGAAAACCAGTTTGAATCCGTCAGTAGTTTTTGAAATCCAGTAATGTTAAGTAGGCTGGCAGGGCTATTTTGTTCACTGAGACATTGGACGAACTGATTCTTTTGTCTTTAATGATGCTGAGTCATTAATAAATCATGACAAAAAGGTATGATAACTGATTATTTTTCCATGAGCCTACTATGTTATTACATTACCTAGCTTGTTTGGTAGCTTGTTTAACAGCTTATTGGACTGTAAGTCACATTCTACAGCTAGATGCACAGACTGATCAGCTGGGGGCTGAAATAGGCCTTTTTTTTTTTCGCTTAAGCTTGATTTATACTCCTGTGTAGGGTCTACTTGCGTAGCTACGCCGTAGCCTACACGTAGCCAGGCATTTATACTTGTGCGTCCGTGTGTCCGTCAATCTGCAATCAATTATTACCCAAACGCTAGTCGGCAGTAGCGCTACACAGCGTCCACTGTTTTGACTTTTACCGGCCAAGCAGGCTAACTTCCAGTTTAGCCCTCCGCCAACATGAATGGGGGTAAAATTGTAAACGTGCGGCTGGTGTAGCCTTTTCAAATATTATCGACCGAATGGATAGCGAATACGAACACAAATAGCGAAACGAGTAATTTCGCTCTGGTTGTGACGGTCAAATATTTTGAACCACGGTGTTACAGCCGCCGTTTTGGCCGCTAGTAAAAGTTACTTCAAAGCACAGGTACTTCCTGTCAGCTCGGAGGCATTGCGAGGCTACCCAGCCGACCAATCACAGAGCTTACGTTCCGCGTCGACGCAACATGTAGTTACATTTTTGAGTAGGTGCACGTCTGTAGGGTAGGGGGCTACGCAGAGGCTACGCCGTCGATTCGACGCAGAAGTATAAATTGCTCGGCCATGACCGGTGACCGGGGCCTAGCAGTGTCAAATATCCAATTTTCTGCTGATCACATTGAACATTACAAACACGCTGCACTGCGCCGTGTTTCACATGTGTGCACAGACAGTAACCGCATGTCACAGCCACAGCCACACATGCTTAAACATGTCTTAGGTGTGTGGAGTTATTCACTAGAGTGAAGAGAACATCTGCAGAGAAACACACAGAAAGAGACGCTATCTTGCATCACGTTAGAAGATAACAATGGATATTGTAAAGCAGGGAGCAGGTAAAGCAACAGTGAACACAGCTGTTGGTGAGGATGTCATTCATTGGTCTCTATCGGTAATTAACAACAAGCCTCCTGCACACGTGGCTCATCTGATGCTGTGAAAACGGAATCGGGGGCGAAAAACACCAAATGTTTAGTTCTCTTAAATAAAACTGCTGACAAATAAAGTCAGAGCAGACAGAGAGAGACAGGCAAGTGTAGGTGTGTGCTTGTGTGTCTGAAGGGAAAAGCAAGGTGAGCAGATTACTGTAGTTTGTGATTAAACACAAAAACAAGTTGGAGAATTAAAATGGTGAGATAGGAAATAGGATAATGTATTCTTTCAAATATTAAAAGTAAAATAAATTTAAAAATGGCCTAGTTTATAGGCTACTGCAATTTATTTTCACACTACCACTCAGGGGTGCCAGAGTCGTACATTTTCAAATTCTAAACATAACCCCGCATTAATTCAGTAAGTCAGCAAAGACTCACATCAGAGAAAATATCACTATATTTAGAGATGAGTGCATATGTTGCTGCAATGGGTGTTAAATTAACCTTTGAACAGCTGTGCTCCGCTAGGATCAGTAGTCTCACTTTGACCTCCTCACTCTCATTTGTTTGTTTAACCTTTGTTTTGTTGAGTTTACGAGTTATACCTGACTAACAGTCCACCTGCATGAGTAGGACATTATCTCACCATGGTGTGTTATTGCAGGAAGGTGGTCTCTAAATGGGACTTAGTAATGATGATGATGGCAGAATCAACACTGTGAAACTGGCCTGGAATTATTCAGAGAAGGAAGAAAGACAGAAAGAAAGAAAGACTAGTTTATTGATAATCTGTTGAAGTTAAGCTTGGCTGTGTATGAGAGGAAAAAAGATATCTACTGAATTAATTTTTAGTACTTTCAAAGAAATGTGTTTACTTAGAGTAGGTCTGTGTGTAACATCCATCCATCCATCCATCAACCGCTTATCCTGCGTACAGGGTTGCGGGGCTGTGTGTAACATTTAAAAGATAAAATAATACATTCCTTATCTTACAAATAAAAAAATTATTATATCAAATTCCACATAAACACACCCTTGTTTATTTCAATAAACTCAGGGGTTCTTCTGTTAGAGCCGTATTTGGGTTGGGCTTGGTATGACCATTAGCTTGTGGTGGCTA